GCCAAAAAGTAGTCTTCTATAGCACATGCTCTGGGTTTGAATTCTGCCTCCACTAATTATCACAATTTGGGATGGTTAATTACTCATTCTAAGACTCATTTTTGTAGCTGGTGGAGACTTGATGATAATGGTAAAACATCCTAAAATAGGTACAGACCAAAATATTATGCATATTATTTTTTAGTCCACTGCCTGGCACAGAATAGAAATTTAATGTGTACATGTTAGAATAGAATAGACAAAACAGAATTCCATCTTCATATTGCCCATTTTTGTTGCCTGCACATGCCATTACCATATCACTCTACTTTGTAAATATGGGGAATTTTCATTAGAAATTTTGTGTGTTTGGGGTTAAGAATTAGGTGATTAATTGAAAAGTCATTTAAACTTTTAATAATAAAAATTATATATATATATATATATATATATATATATATATATATATATATAAAATATTTTGACTTAAAACATTGAAATCAGCGTTTATTCACCTGTATTTTGAGATCTGACCCAGGTCTTTCTTGGAATCTGTGTTTGCTAACTGGAGTCCCATGCTGTCTTTCTTCCCAACACTTATCTATAATTTATTGCTCATTCATTTCAGTTTTGGGACTGAAAGACATTTATGAAATAAATCAATTCTATAATCCTTGGAGGTGTTTTCTCCATTTTGTTTTTACGATTGACTCAGATACCCCAAATTTATGGTAGGTTCTTTGTGTGTGTGTGTGTGTGGCTTATCTTTATCAACTCATTTCTAGAGCATTCCATTTATGTTTTATACAAAAATAATCCTTTTTTTTCACACCCATGTTTATCGGTTTACATAATAGTTCACTGAATTACCTAATGGTAGTTACAACTACAGCTTATACAGATACATATATAAAATGAGCATGAACCCACTCAGCATCAAACATATAGCTGCTGACTCTTGGTAAGCGTGCAACTCCACTGGTAAGAGCAGATGGGAGGTTGCATGCTAGAGGAGAAGGCAGAGCTGAGAATTCAGGGTGCTGGTGCCTCAGATCGCTCTATAGAGGAAATGGAAGGAATGGGTGAATCTGAAAAGTGGAGAATTATAAAGAGAGTTCTGCGGTAAAAAGGGGTTTCACAAATAGAGCAGTGGATCAAGGAAGTAGGAAGGGGGTTAGAGCAAGACATCTGTTTCCAAGTTCACTGGCTAATTAAGCTTGTCAAATCACTGAATACGTCAATGGTGGAGCTAGAAAAGACTTTAGAAAACAACAAATTCAACCCACCCACCACCTTCACTCACTACCATCATCTGCTAACAGTTGATAGGTGAGGAAAGATGGCTGTATTCGAAACAGATAATGCTTTAACACTGTCCCACATAACAAATGGAAAGTGAGGAGAAAAACAAAGCTATTAGAGATGGGGCCTTTCAAGAAAAGAGGCATGGGAGCTTCAGGAAGACATCCTGGACTGGTGGGAAGCACTAGCTTGGAGGACTTTTGGATTTCCTTCAAGCACAAGTGGTCTACACCAAAGGATGGACAGATAGGGAATGGGAGGAGGGAGAAAGAAAAAAATGGAGAGAAAATTCCACGTAATTTTTCTTTAAAAGTCAAGCATCAAATACCAAACACAGAGTGGCCCCTTCTTCCAAAAGCACTTTATGCTTCTGCAGACACACCTATGCCCACTGCCTAGCTTTTTCAGATGTTCATCAATGGTTATGCGTTATACACAGAAAAAAAATCTGTGAACTCTTATTAGATTTTCAATATTATCAGCTGACAAAGGAGGTAGAGCCAATGTTAAAATGATCTGTCTTCCCCTGGCATCTTTTTCATTGCTTTTCCAGGAAATGCCAAAGAAAGTGAGTGAGAGGACTCATGAGGAGTTCTATTAATCTTACCCATCTTCTGTACAGTAACTGGTTCTAGAAATTCTGTGTGGGAATTGGGGCTAACCAGAAATTGAGATCTAAACCTCCAATTTTGGCCACACAGAGTTCTGTCTTTTACCAAAGTGGAAATTTTTCAAGTAAAACACAGAGGCCCAGTGGAACTTTCTGAAAACAAGTCGGCCGTTCTTCAAGAATTTCTGATTTTTAAAAATATATATGATGATTCCATGCAGTGGCCTTGGAGAAATTACCTTGACTAATATAATTGCTCTCTGATCCTTAGGTCAACATTATTTTTTTTTCCTGTGGGTTCCTTTCACCTCAACTTCCCTGTATTTTGAAGAAATGGCAACTAATTTCCAAAGCATAGTTTTAGGAAACCAACAGTGTCATGTCCAATTGCCTAGAAAAATACCAATCGATTCAGCATTCTTGGTCTGATATTGGATTTGTGTGGCTCCTTCTAGTGAGGAACGCAGGCAGCATCTGTGAGGTTTTCCATCCCATCCCCATCACTTCATGGTAAGAGAGTCGGCACTGGTGAATAAGTGCGCACAACTGAACCACACTGAAGTGGGAAACGGGGAATGATTGCAAGTGGGGCGGGAGGTGGCCTCAGGGCTGCCCGTCCTACCAGGATGGGGCTCACTCAGCAGTAGCTTGCAAGACAAAGGTGTCCCTCTGGACCTCAGGGCCAGGCCTCCTGAAAGCAACAGAACCCTCAAGAGTAAACAGCAAGAGAAAAAAGCATTTCTTGTGGCTTTCCTTATCTTTGAAACTTGCACCAGGATAACTCAACTTTTTAGCAATGATTTTAGAAATTATTTGAGCCAAAATCACACAATGGGTCTTGGAAGATGTAGTATCATTGAGTCAAGTGACCAAGAAGCAACAAAGTCATTGGATCTTGCTTTGTTCCCTTCAAAACATTGATTGTTATTTGTAATTATTTATTTCTTCACTTCTCTGCTGTCTGCCTTCTTCCTAGACTGTGTGCTCCTTGGAAGCAAGGACCATCTTTGTTTTGTGCTCCACCATATGCTAAGTTCTTTCTACAATGCCTGGTATACAGTCGGTACTCAATAAGTGTGTGTTGAGTGAATGAATAGATTCCATCTATTTCTGAAAGATCCACAGCAAACCAGAACTTTCACCCAATTCTGGTCCATTTCTTTCTCCTAATGCTAACCCACTCCAACTGAGACAAGAAGGAACCCCAGGGATATTCAAGAACATTTTCCCCAGAAACCCTCAGGTCTTTATGAAAAGACCTCCCGATTTTGCACTGCATTCTATGTTTTGTTGATTAGGAGTCCCTTACATTGCAACACTTTGAAAATTGCTCTCAGCTAAAAATGGTCCATAGCCCTAAGTGAGATATTTTGGTGTTTGTTTTTGTTTTTTTTCTCGCTTATCAGCACATATCAGATCCAATCAGCCCTGACACTTGTTGTGTTCCTAAGAAGGGAATAAAATTACTTAGACTAAAAGGCTCAAATGCTTATAAAAAAGGTCACTCTTTACCTTTGTCACGCCTAATTAATTCCAAAGGGAGCACTGTTTCCCTAGCTTGGCATGCTTTTCCCAGGTCAAGGGGTTTCTGTGAAATTTCCCGAGTTCAGCAAACAAGGGAGTTTGGAAACATTTATTGTGCTTGGCCTGCCATCTCCCCAAAGCCTGAAAATAGTCAGGGTTGATCCCTTTACCAAAAACAAATAATAAAAACCAACCAAACCACCTCTACACACATAGGACACTGTTTCTTCTGAGCATGTGTTTCCTGTAATTCATGTGAAGAACGACTCCACTACTCCTCAAGGCCCTTTGAGATCTAGAACACAAGAAGGAATGCCCCGTTGGAGCTGCCCGCGCAAGCAGGACTTCTGCCTGCAAAATCCTTTCTTTTGCTGCATAGAATACTCTGTGCCGTAGGTAGGGGAGCTTCTGAAAGCCATTCGATACTGCCTGCTCCCTGAGGTTTTTCGCAGTTAACATGAAAAGAGATGGTCGTTTAATTTTCTAGGCATCATTGACCTATGAGAGTCAAGACTGGAGGAAACATCAGTCTTAAAATTCCAGGAATCTTTCTGGTGGATTGCAAGCTCCATGGGGACAGGGCTTGTGTCTTACTCACCAGCATGTTCCGAGTATATTCCTGGTCAGCATTCAACAGGTATCTGTGGAATGAATGAACGAGTGATCAGGCCAACTATTGAGGTAATCATGCGACCTTCACACATCTCCAGCTCTGAGTTTGGAATCGTATAGTCTGAGACTGAGTTGACTAAAAGGGAGATAGCTGGTTCTAAACATGGCTGCTGTGACCTCCCCATTTAAATATTGACATCTCCCCACCTTCACCTCCATGATTCCAATCTCTTTTACTTGATTATTATTATTTTTTTACAACGCTTTCCTTCTAACATGTGATTTTTCTGTAGTTTGCTTTTTATTTTCTTACTCCCCCAATTGTAAACTCCACAAGACCAGGTTTCCGGCCTGTTTCATTCCCTGCTGTATCCCGATGGCCCGGAACAGTGCTTGGCACATATTAAGGGCTCAATGACTATTCGTCAGCTGAATAAACAAAAGGATAATTATTGATTATGGACTGTATATATCGGGGTCACAGCAGGAGTTTTTCTTAAATCCCCAATCCCAATTCCATACCTGGGGAATCAGAATGTTTGGGGCTGTGGATCCTGGGCACCTACATTTTTACCAAGGCATCTGCTATAGGTGTTCCGGAAACCACTAGCTCATCCGACTCAACCATCTAGAGATAGTCCTAAAGTCCAGGGAGATAAAGTGTCTTTGAGATCACGTGGCTTATTTAGTGGTGCATCTAACAGCAATAATTTCTATTCTGATGAGTTTTCTACTCTCATCTATGAGCTGGATTTACTTAATAAGTGTGCTGCCATCACCATCTTGGTCTTTGAGGTTGAGCTCAGAGAGGCAAGAATGATGGCCTCTGCACTTACTTTATGGTGCAGCTCGGTTGGCAGGAAGGTCATGAGGCTTCAGATCGTAAAGGACTTTGAGTCTAATGATGCCTTTGCCCAGAAGAACCACCCTATTCCAAGGCTAACGTGTCAACCCTTTCCCTTTCTTCTTCTAGTTCCTGGATGTCTCTATTAAATGGACCACCCAGGAAACATTTCCTCCGAAGTACCTTCATTATGACCCAGAAACCTCTCGTCAGCTACTGTGTGACAAATGCCCTCCCGGCACCTACCTAAAGCAACACTGTACAGCAAGGTGGAAGACCGTGTGTGCCCCGTGTCCTGACAACCACTACACAGACACCTGGCACACCAGTGATGAGTGTCTGTACTGCAGCTCCGTGTGCAAGGAGCTCCAGTATGTCAAGCAGAGCTGCAACCGTACCCAGAACCTCAAGTGCGAATGCGAAGAAGGGCGCTACCTCGAGGTCGAGTTCTGCCTGAAGCACCGGAGCTGCCCCCCTGGGTTTGGAGTGCTACATGCAGGTACATAGCAGTTTTCGACACGCACCCAGATTAATTAGGATCGTACAAAGTCTAGTCGGGAAGGTTTAGGGGAACACTTTTGTCTGATGACATTCCAGGATAGCAAATTGCAAAGGTAATGGGACCTGCTAGGGACGTACAATGTGTCTGAATCGCTGCCAAGGGACCATTTCGCAGAGGAATACTCTGCCACTGCAGGGCAATTTGGTGACAAATCTCAAATGCAGCAAATTGCTCTCTAATGAGATGCATGATGGATTGCTTTTTTAAAGGGACACACTCTGAGTTGCACTGTTGATAGCTGACATATACCTCTGTGTCTCACTTCAGCATGGCCAGCTTCAATCTGCAGGGCTGTCTGACAAACATCAGAAATCTTAATTGATACCAAGAGAGTAATTATGTTGATATTAACGAGGCCCTAGAGTGCTAACAATGAGCAGTTATAATTAATTATGCAAAAAATGAGAATGGTTAGGGGAAATGCATTTCATTATAAAAAATGAAGCGAGTTCTTCCTTTGGCATGGGAGTGAGTATCTGTGAGGATAAAGGCTGGAGCGATATCTCATCAATGAGCGTATTTTTATCTCAGACGAAACAGATTGTCAAGCCAAGAGTAAGTATTTGCCTTCAAACCAAGCACTTTTTCTTTTTTGCATTTGGACCGGATAAGGTAAAGGCAAGGGTGAATTGAATTTTTAAAAGGCGCAACCCCCATTTTTTTTTTTTCTGCCACATTCACAAAGCCTCATAGCTTGGGAATATAAAGAGTAATTCGCTTGCTTTTCTGGAGGAAGTAGTAATCAGAATAGTTTCTGATTAGTCATTTTGAACCAGTGTTTCTCGACCTCAGCACTATTGAAACTTTGGGCTGGATAATTCTTTTTGTGGGCAGCTGTCCTGTGCATTGTAAAGCATTTAGCAGCATCCGTGGTCTCATCTAGCAGCCATAGATGCTAACAGCACTCTTCCCCCGCTTGTGACAACCAAAAATGTCTCCGGACATTACCAATTGTCCCCTAATGGCAGAACTGCCCCTGGCTGACAACCACTGTAACTATTTTAACTTGCAGAAGTGATATACAAAGTCTCAATGATTAGATGACAAATACTCTAGGCTTACAGACATGAAAGGAAACATTCAAAAATTGAAATATATTGTTTCCTAAGCTGTGAATCTTGTAAAATTAAACACAGAAGGTGGAAACTGCCTGAGAGTTCCTTAAAATGCCTCTAGTATGAATATTTGAGGGAGCAATTGGTGACACTTCCTAGTTTTTATTGGATGAGACTTTGGGACTCAAAAACTTAGCCAAGTTGTAGGGGGGAAAGCCCATCCAACAAAAACAAATCCATTTACTTCAATTCAGTAAGTTGCATATGTAGAAAAAATAACTAAGGGACTATGCAGCTTGGAAACTAGGAAGTTTTGAAAAAGAGTAGAAATAGCAAGGATTTTTCTCACATAAGCATGGAAATCTGTTTGTAGAGTGAAGTAAGCTGGTAGCCAGAGCACTAAGTAAGGACAAAGATGCTCATTTTATTTTGTGGCACCGCAGTGGAGTTTATTTACCTCCCTCCTTAAAAAGCCCACAGAGAAGTTCCTCATGGAAAATAAGAGGTTTCCAGCCCAAAGAGAAGGAAGACTATGCACTGTTGTTCTAAAAGTTATTTAATAACCATTCCTTTTTGTTGTTGTTTTAAAGTCGGATTGTCTCCTCCCCATGTTTTATTGATTCCATGCTGTCTTTTAGTCCTATAATTCCTATGTAATTACTTATGGCTTGCACGGTGACATTCTCAACTACAAAACAGAACTCTCATCATTGATAGTTTATATTTTGCCTGCCAGGTTATACTGTTTATGTTTTCACTGGTATTCGCAAGGCAAAATTATTTACCTACAGGCATAAATTTTTCTTTACAAATAGTTCTATCAATATAAAAGAGGGACATCCCACTCAGCTAGGTCATGATATAAAACTTACAAATACATATATTAAGAAACTTCTATCCTTCTTAGATTTCTTTTGTTAAAGGACTTTAAAGGCTAAAGTACCCGAAAGAATGTCTCATACTCAAGAATTTCTCATTGGGATGTGCAGTAGGACCCAAGCTGTCAACATGTATCTGAAGAATGACAAGCTTCTTTGTGTAGTCACAGAACATGTGGCAGTCGGCAAAATGAGGCTTGGATCCAGATGTCCAAGTTCACTTATTTACAGAATATTAGCAATGAAAGAAGACCGTGGAATCCCTGCCCAAATACCTCACTTACAGTGTTGTAGAAGTTGGTGTGGAGTTGGAAATTAAGAAAGTTCTCTAAAAAAAAACAAAAAACAATAGACCACTTTGTAAGTTGGTTCCAAAGATGCTGTCACTGCAACTCTGGAAATGGCATTCAGTATATGAAGGTTTCCTCCTGTGCTTTGCCATCTCCTATTTTTTTTTCTGCCAGCCCTTCGTCATTTTTACTGGTTGATGCATCATTAATCCCTTTAGAAGCAGAAGGAGATGAAACCAGAACTAAGCTATTTTGCTCTTTTTTGGGGGAGGTTTGGTACAATGAGGTGGGGAGGCTCAAAGTTTTAATAAATGAAGGTCATTAACTTCCTGTCGCTTTCAATTGTCCTGTTTGTTGTCTTGCATAAGCCAGAATTGTCCTATAGAAGCTACCTTTGAATACTGAAGTCAAAATCTGTTCAACTAGCTTACACTAGATGGAGGTATTTTCATATGCAAATATACTGTAATATATGATTTATCCATGAATAAGATAATCAAGGGTTTAAAGGTATTTATTTTTCATAGCATCTTTAGTCGTTGACTGGTTCAAGTTTGCCTACCAATGATTTCTCCAAATGTGTCAAGTGTCTTTCCACCATGAAATAGAATGCCCTTGCAGTCACCCTTCCCTGAAATTTTAACAACCATGCTCTTTTAAATCTCAACAGTTTAAGCAAACTGCATGTCATCTTCCATTTACTGGGTAGCTGAACTGCAGGCTTACTCTGTTGAGCCAACAGCCAACTTTATTGCCACCTTCAAAAGTTTATTATAAGGTTGTAAATTTTTATTTCTCAAGGTTAGCACACTTATGAGTCGCTTCACAATTAGGATTCAGGAAAGAAAGAATTTTGATAGGAACCGATTGGAATTTAATGATGCAACATTCAGTGGGTGCTAATTTCAGAGAATGAGAGTGATGGTATTAGAGCAGTTACACAACAGTTATTTTCATGACTTTTCAAGATAATCATGTGAAGAATATGGTGAACAACAAGACCTTACTTCAGCACAGGCAGGGCTAATGAACACCCTACCCTTCACTCCTCTCTCACGTTTCACAAGTGTTTTGTAGGTAAGGTAACAGCAAAACCAACTTGTGTTTGCATTACAAGGAGAGGAGGCTGCCTAAGGGGCTAACTGTGTGAGTTTTGTTCTCTCTGTCTAGTGAAGTGAAAACTGAAAATGCCTGATGTTATGTACAGCACTAATATTGGGTTGTCAGAAAAGTCACGACGTATTTTTTCTGTTTTTCATTGCAAAAATGCATCATGACTTTTCCAACAACCCACTAGTAAAAACATAGAAGGAAAAACCAAGTGTGTGAAATTTCTAAAACTGTGTGAAGAGAGTTATCTGCTGTGAAAGTATTTGAGAAGAAGGTGCTAAATTGTTTGCTATTTTCTGTAGGAACCCCAGAGCGAAACACAGTTTGCAAAAGATGTCCAGATGGGTTCTTCTCGAATGAGACATCATCTAAAGCACCCTGTAGAAAACACACAAACTGCAGTGCATTCGGTCTCCTTCTAACTCAGAAAGGAAATGCAACGCATGACAATGTATGTTCTGGAAACAGTGAATCAACTCACAAATGTGGAATAGGTAATTATAAAACAAAATATCAGCCTTTGTACCACCTGAGTTGAATACAAGACCCACTGGCCACCTCTTCATCAAACTCATATTTTCCTTTACTTGCGTTTTAACCAGCTAAGACTGTGTTGCCTATACACCATCACGGAAACCACAACTCAAAATCCTTCCAAGTCCTCATCTTCTCAAAGGTCATGCACCAAATCCTGACTTTCTTCCTTTCACACTTGAATCAAATCTTACCCATGGGGAAAAGGGTGGTGTAAAGATAATGTCTGATGTCAAATTATCAGAGTCCCAATGCAGATTTTTTTGTTATGCATTTTAATCACTTTTAAGAATACCTATATCATTAGCCAAAGTATAAATTGGCAACTAAGAAGGGCAGTGACATAAACTGATGGCAAATTAGAAATGTGACACTGACTTTGTATGGTATTGTTGCATCTATCACACGGAAGTTCCAAGTTCATCTTGTTGCCTTAAACTTTGTTCAGGAAGGGTCATTAGCTCCAAGCTCAAGTTATCTGAATGCATTTCATGTTGGTGATGACACTGATCAGATTGGTGTCCTTCACCCTGTCACTCCTACCACTAGACTAATCTCATACCTTCTACCAAGGACTCATGTCATCAAGGATAATCTGTTTTTTAGCATTTGGCCAAAAAACATCATGCACCAGCTTGAGTCTCATCAAACATCTATTTGTACAACACAGAAGTAGATGAAGCTTAGGAATGTAGGTTGGAAAATGTAAGGTTTTGACCCATTTCTTACACTTTTTTTCACTGTGTAATCGAACTCTTAGACAAGTCATTTAGCCTTTCTGCTTTCTTATCTAAAAAATGGAATAAGAGAAGTGGTAGTAAGAGTAGTGACTTCTAACTTTAACATCTTTATTTAATTCATTTTTAATTTTATCTTTATTATTTGTTCAGCACTGACTATGTGCCTGGTACTTTGCCATGCAAGCTTTAATCTTTACAAAAACACACTGTTCAGGTTGCTCAAGTTCAATATAGGGATGAATGGCAGAGCCAGAATTCAAACTTGGGCCTGATGAATCCAAAGACAAACTCCTAGTCCCTGGGATAGACTGACTCTCCCTAGACACTGAGGATGTTGTGCCTCTTTTCTAAGTGACATGTTTTTTTGTGTGTGCGATTTTCTCATTTAATATATGCTCATAAGTCTACATGCATTCTTAGTCCCAAAGGTAAACTATGTGTTTGTGTATGGGCGGAAAACAATACACTATTCCAGATTACTTTCAAGCCACTTTAAAGGCAAGAATCGTATTTATTTTGACACTGATCTTGAATTACCTGGTGGGCTCTAGGTAAACCTCAACAGAATGTTATTATTTACATTAAATCATAAAATTTCTGCTGTCATTTATGTATAGTACTATTACATCCTTACTAAATATTTATTAAGCTTTCTCTTCCAAAAAGCCCTCAAAGAACCTTAGAAAGCACAGAAGCCCAGTTTGACTGGCAATCTCCCACTAAGACCAACCAACAGAAGGTTCATTTTGTTCAAACTTTGCATCTTAGCATCTTCTCTCTTGGAAAACTCAATTGTTTGCTTTTTTTTTTTTTTAATTTTGGATTTTGTCCAATAGAGTTCCAAGAGTCCAACTGTTGAGTAAATCATCTTGGTTTTCTCGCCTTCCTTTAGATGTCACCCTATGTGAGGAAGCATTCTTCCGGTTCGCTGTGCCTACCAAGTTCACCCCTAACTGGCTCAGTGTCCTGGTAGATAACCTGCCCGGCACCAAAGTCAATGCAGAGAGCCTGGAGAGGATAAAGCGGCGACACAACTCACAAGAACAGACTTTCCAGCTGCTGAAGTTATGGAAACATCAAAACAAAGACCAGGATATGGTCAAGAAGATCATCCAAGGTATGGTGACCTGAACTAAGCCCGTCAGTCAGCCACTGAAGACACCCCTTGACCTAAAACAGGAACAAAGCTATGTACCTGTTCTGTTGTGTGGATAATGTCCCTTTTGGAATTACTGTTGGACTGAAAGTTTTCACTAAGTAATAGTGTAAACTCTGTTTCCAGAACAGTTCATGAAGGGTTTTAGTCTCACCTCATCCACATCCCTCCTCCTTTTCTTTTGAAAGTGTACAAAGAAAACACAATGCGTCAATGCCAGGCTAGACTTCGGGAAATCTGCCACTACATCCCTTAGCACTTCTATCAGCACCCTCTCTGACCTTCCTAGAAGTTTTTGAACCACACTGAATCTTACCTTGCATTTCTACCAAGAGGCTATGTTGTATTTATTTGGTAATACTCTCTAGAGAGCCTGTTAGTGTCTTAGAGATAGCCTCTCATTAATCCTCACAACATAACCTATCTTAAAATTACCATTTTAATAGCATGTGTTGTAAGGATTAATGAGATAAGGCCTGTAAAGTGTTTGAGCTTCTTAGAGAAAAGGGCTAGTGAAAACCAAGTACACTCATGTTTTATTAGAATTTTATAAAGAATCTCCTTTAGAAATAGTGAGAGAATGTATGTGTGTGTGTGTGTTGTGTGAGTGTGTGCGAGTGTGTGTGTGTGTGTGTGTGTGTGTGTGTGTGTGTGTGTGTGTGTGTGTAGAGAATTGAAAGAGAAAAGTAAATTTCATATAGTGTGGACTGTAAGTTTTAGGCTACATAGTACAGAGAGGTCTGACTTCAGTTAACAATGGGAGGACATGTCAGAAAAAAGAATGTGGGAAGCTCTTCATAATACAGACACCATCCCTGAGAAATACAATCATCTCTTCACTATCGTTAAGTGACTGAGGAGTCCTACAGTACCCTAAATCTCTGACACCTGAAACTGAGGCAACATATTTTAGGAGACTAACATCTTTGACAGCTAAATGGTTTCATTTAAGCAAAGAGTAAACTTTTTTTTTTCCCAAACAGAATGTATTCTTTGAAAATACAATTAGCCCTGAAGCAAAAAGAAAGAGAAGCAGAGAGTCAGAGACTGTTAGAATCGGAAAGGACCACATCCGTATTTTATAAATGAGGACATTTCAGACCAGAAAGATGAACTGACTTGCTTTAGGGCTCACAGATACTAAATGACTCATGTCATTAATAGAAACATTAGTTACTCCCACTTATGTTTATGTCCTAACTCATTACTGAAATATTCTTTAGGCTGTGTGTATCATCCTGTTCCTTGGCCTCATGATATTGGGTTTTTCATCTTTTCCACTTAGTGGTGGTAAGCCTCTGGTGCTATTTATTAAAAACCATTTGAAGCAACCTAACTCTTTTCAAATAGCACATATGTCACATGTCAACTAATGAAAGTTTGTATTACAAAATAACTAACTTGAATACTTTGTTTATCTGAAATGTTATAGTTTTAATTTCTCAAACTTTTTTTTTTTTAGTAAATTGAGAATGATTTGTCTGTAATTTTCTACTGGTGATTTTCAAAATTAAGGCTTGTCACAAAGCTTTGTCGGATGCCTAGAATATATAGCACGTTATTTTATTATAACACAAAGTAGTGTTTATCTCAGTTCTCAGAAATAACTAGTATTGCTTAAGCCCCCACAAAAAAATAAAGGAAAAGGTTATCCTACAAGTTATGCAACTTGGAGAACTGTTCCCTCAGCATAGTTTTGTGGTGTTATTAGGATAATATACATGATGTGAATGTGTCTTTGTGTGTTTGCTCTATGCAGATATCGACCTCTGTGAAAACAGCGTGCAGAGGCACATCGGGCACACAAATCTCACCTTCGAACAGCTCTGCAGCTTGATGGAAAGCTTGCCAGGGAAGAAAGTCACGACAGAAGACATTGAACAAACAATGAAGGCATGCAAATCGAGTGAGCAGTTACTGAAATTGCTCAGCCTGTGGAGAATAAAAAACGGTGACCAGGACACTCTGAAGGGCCTGATGCATGCACTAAAGCACTTGAAAACATACCACTTTCCCAAAACTGTCACTCAGAGCCTGAAGAAGACCATCAGGTTCCTTCACAGCTTCACGATGTACAGATTGTATCAGAAGCTATTTTTAGAAATGATAGGGAACCAGGTCCAATCAGTAAAAGTAAGCTGCTTATAACCGGAAATGGTCACTGGGCTGTTTCCTCACAATGGACCAGATCCGATGGATGAGTTAAACTGTTTCTCAGGCACTTGAGGGGGGGGTAAAATGATTTCTTTCTCATCACCAAGGACTAGATTTGGCCCCAGGGCATGGAAGGAAACTATGGAAGTTGTGGAGAAAGAATTAACTTCTCCCCAAAAAGTTCAATAAACCCCAAATAGTTTATCCAACTGTCAGATCTGGTCCAGTATCTACTGACTATATTTTCCCTTATTACTGTTTTCAGTAATTCAACTGGAAATAAGAAACTAGACTCTATTGTGCCTTACTAAATATGGGAATGTCTAACTTAAATAGCTTTGAGATTTCAGCTGTCTAGAGCTTTCATTAGAAAGCCATATTTTTTTTCTGTAAAAGTACTAATATATCTACAACACTATTACAGTATTTGCTATTTATATTCCTTCAGATATAAGGTTTGTACATATTATCATCCTAAAAGGAAACTGTGTAAGACTTAATTTTAGAAAGGGAACAAATATATTCTGTTTATTATTATGACAAATGAAAGAGATAAAATATATTTTTAATGATAAGTTTGTAGCATTTCCTAATAGGTACTGCCATTCTTGCTGTGTGGAGTGTTGTTTTTATAATATAATTTTACCTATATAAGCTATAATATCATTTTATAGAAAGTACATTATTTAGTCAATTGTTTAATGTTGGAAACTGTATGAAATATAAATTATCTGAATATTAGATGCGCTGAGAAATTGAATGTACCTTATTTAAAAGATTTTATGTTTTTATTATGTAAACAACATCATTAAAGTTTTCTAATTATTTTTCATTGCTTTCCCTCTTGCTTTTATTTGAATGGAACATTAATGGGCATGAGTTTTTACAATTTTCTCTGTTCTTTTATCACCAGAACCATCTGGGAATTGTTAAAAATGCAGATTTCTAGGCCAATTTATTGACAGACTCTGGGGAGAAGGACAGAAACCTGCATTTTTTAACAAGTCCAAAGTAATTCTTATTATACTAAAACTGGAAAACTTCAAAAGTCACCCTTAGCATACAGATGGTGCAAACCACTTATAACTGCTGGCACTAGCATTGGGAGACCAAACTATGTGAGTTATTTTGGTTGCAAATTATAGAAACTGGCACTGCTTAGTTCAAGAAAAAATTAATTGCAAGGGTGGTGTATTGGGTTGAATGGCACCCCTTCCCCAAATAGGTTCACATTATAATCCCCAGAACCTGTGAACGTGACCTTATTTAGAAAAAGAGTCTTTGTAGATGTAATTAAGTTAAGGATCTTGAGATGACCAAGTCATCCTGAATTATCTAGGTGGGCCCTGAATGCAATGACAAATGTCTTTATAAGAGACACACCAAGGGGACAGATAGAAGATAATGTGATGACAGAGGCAGAGAAGGAAGTGATGTAGCCATAAGCCAAGGGAACCAGAGGAGGCAAGTAAAAGATTCTCTTCTAGTGCCTCTGTTGGGAGTAGGGTCTTGCTGACATCTTGATTTTGGACTTCTGGCCTCCAGAACTATGAAAGAATTAATTTCTGCTGTTTTAAGCCAGACTGTGGTAATTTGCTGCAACACCCACAGGAAGCTAATATGGGTTGTACCCAAGCCTCAGAAAGGGCAGATTTAAGATAGCTCTGTGCCTATTGGGGGCAGAAGTTCCTATACTTTCCCTTAGTCTTACATTTCTGCACCTTTCAGTTCAAAATTTCAAATTCCCAGGAAAGAGGCTCTGGTTGTCTTACATTGGCATAAAGACATGGCCAGTGAGGGTCTGTCTTTATCAGTTCCAACTCCCAAGAAGGGGATGTCAGTGTGAACAGGATCCACTGATTCCCATCCTTTCCCAGTTTGTGTTCCTCTTTTCTCTCACTTTACTGTCACTTACGAGGTAGTGTTGGCACAGATCAACCCTATCTCTGAAATCAGATCAGCTATGGCCACCGAGAGAAGGGCAGATCCAGGTACACAGTACACAGAGTCACAAATCTGGGGAGATAAAAAGCAGAAGGGAAATCAAGAGGCTCCAACCTGGAGAATCAGACAGAGTCCCAATGTTGCAGTCCTTGAAGTAGAAAAAATTGTGGAAACTGAGTGTCACAGGGATAAGCAGGAGGGTAGGAGCTAACTAATAGCCTTCATTTTCCCTTCACAGGCCCCAGTTCTTCCATCAAAATGCTTATTGATGGATAATGAAATGGCCCATACCCATCAGCTAAGTTTAAGAAAAGCCTGAAAGTTAATGGCATCAAGTATAAATTATTCAAAGGTTAATTTGATTGGCTTCCCTGGCTGCTCCTTTGGGTCAGGTCTTCCCCAAGCTATCCAAGGGAGATATTAGACATAAGTTCATGTCAGTTTCTCCTTTTTCAAACTTTTAATTCTGAAATAATTTTAGATGTACAGAATCACTGAAAAGGTAGTATAAAGTACCTGTAGTGAGCTGTTTTGTAAAATATGCCCCAATTTCAGTTTGTCCGACGTTTTCTCATGAATAGATTGATGTTATGGATTTGTGGGGAAGAATATCACATAGGTGATGGCCCTTCTCACATCATATCAGGGGCCACTGATATCAGTTTGACTAATTACTGTCGATATCAACCTTGATGACTGAGTTAATTTTTACATAAGATGTGAGATACGTATTGAAGTCTTTTTTTTTAAACTTATGATCATCCAGTTGTCCCAATATGATTTGTTGAAAAGACTAGGATTGCTCCATTTAATTGCCTTTCCATCTTTGTCAAAAATCAGTTGATTATATTTGTGAAGGTATATTTCAAGACTCTCTATTCTGTTCCATTTATTTATAAATTTATCTTTTTACCTATACCACACTCTTAATTACTGTCACTTTATAATAAATCATAAGATTATCTCGGACTATTACTCTATCACTTGGGAGCAGGCTGTTTTTTCTTTGCTTTTTTTTGTGTGTGTGTGCGCCTCCTAATTTTTTGTTAAGAGCCAAATTATTGTGTGGGCGAGCAGGAACAGAGGTATGTGGTTCTTCATACCTGGATACGGACATGCCTTTCCTTCTGCTAAAATTATAATGGAAAGCTTTGCATTAACCCCGTTCCTCATTGGACTCACTTTTTTTGTTGTTGCTGCTGTTGTTTTGCTATGGTTTTACTCAGTGCATCACAGATTTCCAATTCCTACAGAAAGCTTGTTTCTAGGGTGGTGGGTGTGTATTAGATCCATGCCTGCTTGATTCTGAGTTTTGGGTCTTCCCTTTGAGCTGTGCCTCAAAGAGGTTCGTTCTCTGCACTTCCTCGTTCTTTTCCCATCCCTCTTCCAGCAGTATGTTGCTGTCATTTGTCATTTGAAGCTTCTTAGCTTCAGGGTGCAGGGAGGGAGCTGCAGTGTGTTGTTCAGGTTAAGGCTGTTAGGCATGCCCGTGTCCCTGGGGTGTGTGGCCCTCTCAGTTCTCTTGGCCCTTCTCTAGCTGCAGTTGTGGGATCAGCACTCGATCCTATCCCTTGTCCCCAGAACAGACATTCCTCCCTCCTGTTCCCTTTCCTCAGCTGCAATGAGTGTTGCCAATATCTTAAAGCCAGTAGTTTTACCCGCAACCCCCAGATGAATGGTTTTGTTCTTCTGGGTGAGGTGTCTAGCCCTCCCCACAGGGCCACTGCTCCTTCCTCCAGTAGCTTATGGTTCCTTTTGATCTATTCAGTGAGTGCTCAGTGGGGCTTATGGATAGAGAGCCTGCAAAAGGGTTGAAGGAGGTCATCAAGAGGGTGTGACCACTGACGGATACTTGAGCTGGACCCAGGCAATCAGAAGCTCCCTGCCCCCCCCCCCAGTCCTTAGAACATATGTTTTATCCATTGTTCCCCACAGTGGGAGCCGCTTAAAAGACATGGCCTTGAGAGAATAAGGTGTTGTTGAGAACATGTGGACTATATAAGTGACTAAACCCCATTAAGGCCTCTACATAAACTTTTAAGACTCTGGCAGAGTCTTAAAACTCTCTTCTAGCTATCAGCATAAGCCTCATATGTAAGTTCCCTTGCTTATTAAAACTGCCACCTACCAATCTGGAGCAATCTCCCTCTTTCTTGGGTCTCTCCTTGCCCTCCGGGGTTGAGGGCCAGTTTCAGATTTCACTTGGTAAGCTCCCAAGGTTGACAATCAACAAAAAGGGTGCAAACTCCCCCAATTTCTGCAGCACCCAGGACTTTCACACTGTTCCACCAGGCCACACTGAGCCTTCATCTCTTCTCACTGAGCACTTCTTACAAGGGTCCAGTTGCACCTACCTGAGGTCAGCACGCATTTGTATAACATGTTCTCTCTCCCTGGATCCCTATCTCTTCTTAGATTTTTGGGTCACCTCAAGTCATCAATGAGTGTTTACTTGTTTGTTTTAAATCAAGACTATTTTTAAAGAGCAGTTTTAGGTTCACAGAACAATTGAGAGAAAGATACAAAGCTTCCCTCTGCCCTCACGCACACACAGTCCCCCTTGTTGTCAACATCCCCCCACCCGTAACACATATGGTGTAACCAATGAACCTACATAAACACATCATAACCACCCAAAGTCCATAGCTTACATTTAAATTTAGTTTTTAGGTTTTTTTTGTTTTTGTTTTTGTTTTTTGTCATAAGTTTGAGGACATCACTAATTCTGGCTCTCTACATCCTCCAGGTTTTGCACATTCCTCCCAGGGAGAAGCCAGAGCTCAGTCAATTTTGTTGTTTCAAGTCTTGATGTGAAAGATGGATGGGAGTTAAAACTACCCTCCTGAGTTCAGATCCACTGCTTCCACCGAGTGGATAAGAATCCATCCAGAAACCTACACACATTGTAAAGTATTTTTGATGAATTAGTATTTGGGACTAAAGAATTCAGACTAAGAAACAATTTTGAGTGGTCATGAAAAATATTCTGTGAAGTTCTTGTTTATATAGCCATGCTTTTCTATTTTACCTGTTTTATTAAGCATCTTATTCAATAGACTATCTTCGATATTTTATTTATATGGGGAAAATCGAATTTGTTAATTCATTGAAAAAATATTTCAGAGTTCCCAATCAGAGTACTCAATTCAGAACACTTCATACCTAGTCCTAAGCTAGAAATACAGTAGCAAACCATTGCTCCCATCAGGAGCAAAATCCTAGGTTGTTTTAATTTGTTCTCTGTGAGACCATCCCTGTCAAACACAAAGTGTTTATGTTCAGGTATAGAGATGAGAGAGCACACGCTCCAAATATAGAGAATTCTATGCTCTTCTTCTCAGTGCAGACACAATAGCCCTGGAAGAAGCTTCTTTCCAAAGATTGAGCACCTTGGAGATGTTCCCTAAGCTGGTGCCCAAACTCAATGTGAGGAATAAACGTGTAGGGCTCTCTTCCCTTGATGAAAGGTCACCCCTGTAATTAGTGTAATTATGATTGTTGGTATTGAATACAACTGTATTCTAATTCCTTGACTTTCTCGTTATTGTTTTCCAAATTTCTCTCTCCTCAAATCTAGGAAACTATAAAACAGGAATTTAACAGTAATACTAGCTGGCAACAATTATCTCTGTAACTGAGTTTAAACACACCTATTCTGGAGATGGTTCTAATCTAGGTGGAGAGACAGGATATACATATGAAAGAGTAATTGCTAATACCAAACGGTATATACTTAGTGCAAACTGAATTGTATAAATATGGCACAGTCATCAAATGGCATCCCTGAAGCCCAGAGCAGGCCAAGGAGCAGTAACTTTAGCTGGGTCTTGTAAACACATCAAGGCAGAGAGAAATCAGTGGGATATTTTAGACATAAGGAACTGCA